CACCTAGAAGACAACCCCTCCAGCATCTCTATGAGGGATTTTCTAGGCAGATTAATTAAGCCATGAAGAAGACACGTCCTATATGTGAGCATCATTCTATTGATTAGGGTCCTGGACTGAACAACAAGAAAAAAGCAAGCTGAGTCACTGCATTCATTGCTCTCGCTTCTGCCTGCAAATGCTATGTAAACAGCCTCCCTCGATATTTGTGGCCATGAATTCCTCACCATGATGGACAGCACCCTCAGCTGTAAACCAAAATAAATACTTTCTTTGCCAAGTATTTGATCACAGCAGTGAGGAAAGTGGCTAACACAAGGATATCAAGAAGTCTTGAAAAAGATGAACAGCAGAAACTAGAAGCCAACCTCCTCCACCCTGAGACAATCACTGTCAATACAGTCACAGAGTTTCCACTCTTGCTCCAGTTTTTATGGGGGGAGGGGCAATGTGGTTTCTGCACTTCCCTTGCCTGAATACCCAGTGCTTTTCTTCATCCCTGTAACAGTCAAAGGAGCTTTCTTCCGGAGCCAGTCTATAGGGTGTCTTGTTACTGCATGGTTGTCCAGCATGCACAAAGCTCTGAACAAGGCTTTCCCATCACTGAGTGGATGTGGGGCTTGTTTCCACCATCAGAGACTGACTCTCCGAAGCTTGGTTTCTATTCTCTGTCCTCCTCATCTCTTGACTTTCCAACTCTGTTTTTATTGCATCTTTATTTTCTCCTAGAAGTGATGCCTTCTTGAACTCATACCCCAGATGATGGTCCTATATCCTGCGGGGTCACTCTGTCCTTAACAATAACCACAAGCTGGGTATGATGGTTTGAACGGGAATGGTCCCCATAGGCTCATATGCTTGAGTTCTTGGCCCTCAGCTGGTGAAACTTTTGGGAATGATTGTGGGATATGGCCTTTTTGGAGGAGGTGTGTCACTGAGGGTGGGCTTTGAGGTTTTAAAAGCCTATGCCTTTCTCTCTGTCTAATTATCTATCTATCAATATCTCTACCTCTATCTCCCTCACTCACCTCTCAGCTACCCCTGTTGTCATGCCTTTGCTCTGCCATCATGAACTCTAACTCTAACCCTAACTGCAAGTCCCATTAAACACTCTCTTTTGTAAGCTGCCTGAGCACTAAGAAATCCCATAACCTCCCAATATTCCCTAGTGAGTCTGTGAAGGAATTACATGTCTACTATTCATCAGCTTCCCAATTTCAACGCCTTCTGGGATCTCAGTTGGCATTTTGCCTCTTGTGCATGAAGCTGTTTTTCTAGAACACGTCCCTCTGCATCCCTCACAACCCTCTGTCTGCCCCATACACCTCCACACCCTCCAAGTCCCATTGCAGCCACAGGGTTATTATGAGAGATGTCACGAGGCCTTGTACTTCAGAGCTCAGAGGAGAGCTTATGGCCAAAACTGGCATCCCTATTCTGAGCAGAGGACTTCCTCCCCTGACAACGCCCTTCTGTTGTTCCTTCCAGAAGAGACAAGCCTCTGCCTGACATCAACGTCATCTGGGCCCATCCTTTTCTCAGTCTCTCCCCCCTCCTCCCACTGCTGTCTGCACCCAAGCTCCTCCCAGTTCCTGTGACTTTTCTTATGTCCCTATATTCTGACTGATACAACTGTACCTTTCATACCAATGAGTACCAGGTACTTCACCAAACATGAACTATTTTTGCACTGGCAGAAACCTGGCATCAAATATGCCCTGTCTGTGTCCTTTGAAGGAAGTCCACACTGGGATTTCCTCCATCAGCTCCCTGGTTTGGGGCCTTCAAATGCACACTGACGTGCACCCTAGCCTTCCTGGGCCTCCAGCCCACGGATGGAGACGTAGAAATTCTCAATCCCTGTAAGCACATTACACATTCCTCCTACTCATTCTGTTCCCCTCGAGATCCCTGACTAGTGCTCAGAGTGATGCTGAGGGTTTCTCTGGTGACACAGACCCCAGTGAGGGGAGAATAGGAGGGAGAGATGCTGAGCCACTCCCAGCTCCTCTCAGGTCATCTATGTGATGAACCAGGGTAGACGGACCTGTCAGAAATGAAATGTGCTCTACTCCGAAGGCTCCTGCTCTCGAGTGTGCGTGTCCTTTGGGGACCCACAGCAGCACTGTGCCGGTACTCCTCACCTGCCCCTGTGAGTCTCAGTTTGTTCTCAGTGAGGAAAGGCTGATTTCTTACTTCCAGTGCTCGCTTCCCCCTCTATGTATACAATCCCTTTATCATCTGAGAGTACGCTCAAACAGACAGCAAAGCAAAGCTTAAGCATTGGTCAACACTACAGAATTCACAGTAGGTTTGACTGACAAGCAGGAAAACAGGTTAACATTGCCATAGAAGGCAGCATTTTGCTAGGCAGGGACCGGGGAGGGGTGGGGGGAAGGGAAATTAAATGAGTCTTTTCTCCAAATTCTCTTTTTAGCATCATAGCGCTTTCTGAGCTCCCACCCCATCCCTGGGGTTCTGTTCCAGATGCTCTTTGCAAAACTGTGGGTTGAATCCAAGTGAAAGTTGGAGACAGGAGCGGGGGTTAGGGGGACACACAATACCCTAAAAGGATTCTGAAAGTACAATAACCAAAAATTAGTTAAAGGAGGCTGGAGCAACAGCTCCATGGTTTAAAACGTTTGTGGCTTTTGCAGAAGACCCAGGTTCAGTTCTCAGCATGCACTTGGTGGCTCTCAACTATCTATAACTCCAACTCAAGTAGAGCCCATGCTCTCTTCTGGTCTCCTCAGGCACCAGGCACAATGTGGAACACATACGTCTCTTCAGACACACACAAACTAAACCATTAAAAATTTAATTAGAGGGTGGGGCAAAGGCTCAGAGGCTAAGAGCACGGGCTGCTCTTCCAAAGGCTCTGAGTTCAAGTGCCAGCAACCATCTATAATGAGATCTGGTGCCCTCTTCTGGGGTGCAGGTGTAAATGCAAACAGAACACAGTATACAGAGTAAATAAATAAATCTAAACCACACACATAGACACAACTTAACTAGAAATGAAAGGCACAGGGAAGCCCAGGTGCTTCTGGTGGTACCTGCCCATGATATGTATTGTAGCTTCGCTGCCACAGCTCTGAGAATGCTCACTCAGCACTATGCCCACAGCACCAGCGGACACTGCGGCAGCCTTGGTTCTAGGCATGCGCACTCTGCGCTACGCGTGTCATCACACACACAGCACCAGCGCTGTGATTGGAGCCCCTTAGCTCAGATCTGAAACTGTTGTATGTCTCAGACTATGGTGGTTTTTGTTCTGTTTTATTGTTTTTGTTTTGTTTTGTGCACAGAAACTTTTGTACCCTTACATAACCGTTGTGGAAAAACAAATACTTGATATTTTCCTACTGTCCCTCCTCAGCATGTAAGTATCAATATATCTGTGAAATTGTATTGTTAGAACGTTTGGGTTTTTTTAATTGCTGTTTTGAGTTGTTGACCTGAATTTCATTAAAAATAATCATTACATGAATTTTGACTTGGGATTAAGACAGTTTCTAACAACTTCTGAAATGGCCTTTCACATATTTCTGCCATTTTTTTATGTATTTATGTGGAGTGGCAAAACCAGCTTCGACAATTATGAAAATCAAAGTAGCAATCAACTCTGGGAAACATTAAGGATGCTTTATATTCTACAGTATTAAATATTCAGCCAAGATTTTATTCTTTATGTTAAACTAAACAAGTACATCCATCTCATCAGTATGCAAATTGGCTTCTACCTTTAAGAAATGATAACATCAGATGTATACCAAAGAAGAGCTTTGAAATGCACTTGTGATTTATTATCAGTCAATGTTTGGTTTACATACTTATCTATATTTCTATGTATCTGGGGCCAAGGAAAAAATCCTGGGCAAAGAGGCATTGTGAGGGCAAACAATTTAGGAATCTCTGCTGTAGGCCATTTACCAGAGAGTGCACTGCAGACAGCCACTGTTTAAATGGCCTTATCTGATGCCAGCCATGTGCAAAGAAAATAAAGCCCAATCTCAGATCCTCCATGTCACTATGTTCTTCTCCCTCTAAGCGGTTTACAGAGAGAGAGAGAGATCTAGAAGCCAGCTACCCAAAGTGTTTCCCTCTAAGGTGGAGTTATAGATTCATCCTTGCCCTGAAATAAAAATGCTCTTTGAAGATATGACACAGGGCCTCGGAGGACAGGAAGTACTGATGCTGAGGGCAGGAAGTACTCATGACCCAGTTTGACATCAGTTAATTAGGCGTTTTTCTCCTAACTTGCTCAGCTTCCTTGTTCTGAGGAGACAAGAGCACCATGGACAGACATGAGGTAAATACAAAAATGATGAAGCCTGTGGCACTTAGAATGGGTTTGGACTCATGTGTTTGAATGCTTGCCTCATAGGGAGTGGCACTTTTAGAAGGTGTGGCCTTGTTGGAGTAGGTGTGACTTTGTTGAAGGAAGCGTCACTGTGGGGGTGGGCTTTGGGGTCTGCTATGCTCAAGCTACACCTAGTATGGCACACAGTCTCCTTTTGCTTCCTGCAGATCAAAATGTAGAACTCTCGGCTCCTTCTCTAGCGCCATGTCTGCCTGCCACCAATGTTTCCTGCCATGACAGTAATGGACTAAGTCTCTGAAACTGTATGCCAGGCCCAATTACATGTGTTCCTTTATAAGAGTTGCTGTGGTCATGGTGTCTCTTCACAACAACAAAACCCTAACTAGGACAATGCCAGAAACATGACACTGGCAAACAGGTTGTCGCACAGCAAGGCAATGGGGACAAGGAAGACGCCACAAGAAAAGGAGATGAAGGGCAGAAATGAGAGGAGAGAGGGCAGGAGCATGGTCCATGCCACAATTTGGCCCAGAATCAGATCCATGGCAAGTCCTAAACCTGCATGCAAACCATAGGCAAAAATTTGAACGAGCCACCCACCACCGTCTACGGTGATCAGAGATACAGCACAGAAGAGCTGGTCCCCGTTGCTCGGTCAGTTGCCGTGGCGACGCACCTTCTGAGTGAGGTCACTGGCCTCGTTGATGTACCGATCTCGCTCCTTCTCTAGCTGAAAGATGATCTTCCTCTGCTTCTGGGCCTCGTCCTTGTAGTTCTGGATCTCCTCCTCCAGGTTCTTCTTGGCTTGCTCATGGAGCTTCACCATTTCCACCTGCTTCTGAGTCGAACCGATTGCTTTAAGCATATTCTTAAAAAAAAACAGAAAGAAAGCAGGTGTCTTACTCCCAGTGTTTGAAGAACCTGGAGCTTAGTTCATTCAAAAATAATTAGATGTCTTGTATTTGGGATGAATCAAGTTATCATAGGCTCTATAAATCACAAAGGGTCTGTTATGTGAATTTTGCACAAGGCATGCTTAAACGCACTAACAAATCAACACATTCCAAATGGGCCCTGTGTTATTCCCTGTTTAGCAGAGCAAAACTGAGGCTGAAGAGTAAAGGTATGTGCCAGTGAGCTCACACCACAGGGAAGTGGCAGAGCCAAGATTGGGATCCGCCTTCATCCCAGCTCTGGCCTTTACATCGTTTAGACTGAACAACAGGCTTAATCACCTAAACCGGGCTTTGACTACAAAGTAAAATAAAACTAGCTTACTAAGAGTGCAGAGGTGAGCCCAGTACTGGGACACAAACCTGTAATCCCAGCACTCCGGGCAGAAGGCAGAGGCAGGAAGATCAAGAGTTCAAAGCCAGTCTCTACTATATAGTGCTCCAGGAGACTAGTGTAGGCTGTCTCAAAAGACAAATGCAGGGACTAAGGATGTGGCTAAATGATAGAGTACTTGAAAAATAAAGTCCTCTTATAAGAAGATAGATAGATAGATAGATAGATAGATAGATAGATAGATAGATAGATATGCAAATGCCTGTATATAACATATGAACAATAAACATATGAACAATATGAACAATAAATAAAACATATGAACAATAAATAAACACATGTTCATATAAACATATGAATAAATCTACTCTTATATCACCACTGAAATAAATGGAAGCACATAGAGAATACTATGAACATTCTTGCTACAAAAGAGATTACTATGTTAACATTAAAGTGATAAGTAAATTAATTGCCCTGACTTGATCCTAAAGCAACGTATGGAAGCATGAAACATCCCTCTATATCTCAAATAAAGTATGTAGTTATTACATGCAAATTAATAGTAAAATAAAACTTTTTTTTAAAAAAGCAAATGTTTCATAGCAGCCTTATTCACAAAAGTCTAAAAATGAAACACAAACTGTCTTCCAAGTGACAAGCAGCAGAAAAACATGATATGTCCATGCAGAGAAACACTACTTGGCCATAAAAGGGAATAAAGTTCTCCTATGTGCTGCCATATTGATAAAAGTTGAGAACAGCCTCCTGAATGAAAGAAGGCAGACACAGAAGTCA